CATTTTAGTGGACCATCTGAGCGTCAGTAAGGGAGACATTACTGTATTCGGTGAAGGGTTTACTAGTAGATGAAGAAGGCTACGGGTTTGTAGTAGTTCTAAAGCGTTGCATGTGTATAATATTTACTGATTTCAGGTGACAAACAATGCGTACCCTATACAGTGGATAACGAATTACTGGCGTGCGTTTGCAATGCAACTTATTGCGACGATTCGCTGAATCTTGAATCGCTTTTCCTAAACAGAGATAACTTTTTCCAATATGAAACGAACAAGGCTGGGCTCAGGATGCAGTTGTCGGAGGGTACATTCAGCAGCTCTTCCGATGTACCTACGAACGTGACTTTGACGATAAATAGACAGAAAATGTATCAAAAGATTCTTGGCTTCGGCGGTGCGTTCACCGATTCGACCGGTATAAACATGAAGAAGCTCAGCCCGGCTACGCAGATGCAACTGATGAGGTATACAATACGCAGAAAATCCTCATGAAATGTCTCGAATGTTGTCATAATTTCTCGTTCAATTGGAGCTCGCACCTTGTGCGGTCCAATTTGGGAGCAAATTGGACAACGGGAATTTATCGCAGCTATAACAGAAAATTGATTAGACGTTTACGATTATCTGAGCGTTTTATTTAATGCGCTCTCAATGATAGCACTCGCATGGAATAAATTTACCATGTCATGGAACAAAGTTACCATTTGCGGTCTGCAAGTGCGAGCGTTCGAATTTCGAATGCTTCCGCGTCGACGCATGCTCGAGGACCGAATTCACTTTACATTCGATTCGTGATACGTTCAAATTCGATTGTTCGCAGGGCATACTTCGATCCGCTAGTTGGAAGCAAATACAACCTGGCTCGGTTTCCAATTGGTGGCACCGACTTCTCGGTGAGACCTTACTCGTTGGACGACGTAGCCAACGATACATCGTTGGAGCATTTCTCCCTCGCGCCAGAGGATCTCAATTTCAAAATACCATACGCGAATATAGCTCGCGAATTAAATCCTTTCACGAAATTCTTTGCGTCCGCGTGGTCCGCTCCTGGCTGGATGAAAACCAACGGGGATTTCGCATCTTTCGGTAAACATTTGCTCCAACAGTTTCATTCATCCGTAAAATAACACTGCAATTAATTTTCCAATAGCGAGTTAACTTCAGTTTTTCTACTAGACCAAAGTTAATTATAGTTATCCGTGTACGTTATACGTTCAGGGTACTTGAAGAAGGAGTACTATCAGGTTTACGCGGACTATCTGGCTAAGTTTGCCGATGCATATAAGATGCACGACCTGGACATATGGGCGATTACGACAGGCAACGAACCGACGATCAACTCCCATATCAATTCCTCGAAAGTAATCTCTATGGGCTGGACACCCGAAAGCATGGCTGACTGGGTCGCCGAGAATCTGGGGCCGACTTTGGCTGCATCGGCCAGCCATAAGACGCGCGTCTTGGCCCTCGACGACGACAGAGATTTACTGCCACGTTGGGTCGAGCCGTTGTATAACAATGAAACAGCGTCGCAGTACACCGTAGGCACCGCCGTGCATTGGTACTTCGGCTTTCTAGCCCCCATTACGGTGCTGGACGAGACCCATGATTTGAATCCCAATAAACTGATTCTCATGACCGAAGCGTCGCAAGGTGAGTCTTCCTTTCGCTTTGAAATTGCTGTCGTTTGCGATCTCCTATCGAATTCTGTATTTAGGCCCGACGTATTGGGGAAGATCGACTCTCGTGTCGGACATGTGGACCCTCGGGGAAGAGTACATCTTGAGTATAATCGAGGTGAGAACAGTTTTCGTTCGCGGTCGGAGGAAACAGCAATCGGGGTGACGACCGTAACTCGTGCGATTTCAGCATTTGAATAATTGGGCGGTCGGCTGGGTGGACTGGAACTTGGTGTTGGATCAAGCTGGTGGACCAACTTGGATCAACAATACTCTGAACGCAGGCATCGTCGTGAATCCGGAAAGCGATGAATTCTTCAAGCTGTCGATGTATTATGCCATCGCGCATTTCAGCAAGTTCGTCGACAGAGATTCCGTCAGGATTAATATCACCGACACCGACACCGTCAAATCTTCGGCCTTCGTAACGCCGACGGACGAAGTCGTCGTTGTACTCTATAACAAGTAACTGAATTCTTACCGAATTATTGTTGGACACATTGTTCCACAGATTGCAGTTTATCGCGGTGATCTGATTGATTTTTCGTCTCGTTGCAGAGCGTCCGAGCCCACTACCGTGACACTGCAGGACGCAGAGAGGGGTCTGGTGCAGGTGGGCTTGTCTCCGCTTTCTATGAACACCATAATATACAAGCAATAATTCTGGGTAGACTGCGAATTTCATGAACTTATCACAACAACGACAAACACTGAAAAGAAAACAAAACAAAAAAATTAAAGGGTATCAAACTTTATGTTTCATAAGGATTCGCAGTTAAATCATGTATATCAGATTTCCTATGGGTACATATACGTATTCTCGCTGAATTGTATTGTTCTGCGATAAAAATAAATGTGCACTGTTCGACAATGCAAGATTGAAGTTGCTTATCGACCTTCGAAACGATACACTGAACCGGAACAGATTATGGTTCCTTTTAACTATGGACCTGGCGCGTGGTCTACCATCGTAGACCACGCACGTTTGCCGTGTCATAGTTTCCTCTGTGCATTTTTTTTGTACACGCGCTTCCTAATAGCCGTTAAATAGGTTGCACTCGATACTGTTAGCGTGTCATTGACTGTAGAGACCGCGCGACCGAGAACACGTGCGGTAAAAGCACTGCTATGCATAGGAACGCACGCCGATAATATCGTAAAGAAGACAAAAGAATGTTTCAATTTGCATAAGGATCATGTATTAAACATTTTCTTCAACGCTAACTCGGAAACTATAAATACATGTAGTCACTTGCTCGCCTTCTGTCAGTTTGTTAGATTCATTCGACTTCGACATAGGGCAACGAATGCCTGAAAGCATGTGGAGAACATTCCTCGTTCTCGGTTTCTTCTCTGTCGCAGGTACTATACGTATGCGTATCGTTACATATTGATTAGGATCGCTAGATGTTAATCTTACCGAGATAGCGTTTCGATCGAATGAACAGCCGCGTGTTTCGTGAGACTTTTTAGAATATTTATTCGGCAATTAACGCGTTGCTCGTTCAACGCATTCGCTGCACTGCGATAGCGTAAACTACTCACAGGATGTCGTTGTTGGATGCGCAGCTTGTGCGAAGGACTGCGTGCCTTATATCGTCGACAACGGTGTACTCGCGTGCGTTTGCAATTCCACATATTGCGACGACACCCCGGATGCTGAGCCAAAGATCCCGGAGAAAGGGAGCTTTTACTGGTACGTCTCGAACAAGGGAGGCGACAGATTGCGGATGTCGAGCGGAAAGTTTAGCCCGGATGAGAACCATTCACCGACCGAGGAACATTTGGTTTTAAACAGGTCGAAAACGTATCAAACGATTCTCGGATTCGGAGGCGCCTTCACCGACTCCGTTGGCATAAACATAAAGAAACTTAGCCCCGCTACTCAGGATCAACTGATACGGTAATTTTTTGACGATGCCATATTCGAGTGTACAAACTATTAGGGTGTCCCATAAGTTCTTTCCGCGTTGGTGACAAAGTTCCTTATAAAAATTTTTCTACGCCGTTCAATATGGATAGCCAAAAGAAGCACACACATTTGCGGCAT